AAATGTATCGCTGTATTTGCCTTACAATTTAAATGACTGGTTGCTGTTATATGCAACAATAGATGCGAGCTTTGGTATCACCTGTGACCGGAATTTAAATTTTCGCGGCGCTCTCTCGTGGCATGTTTACGGCGCTCCTGCGTCTGCGCCTGGCTTTGACCTCCCTCTTATTCCAGCGGCGCGTCTTACGGCCTCTCTTTTAAGGCTTAAACACAATAGGCACAGGCAATGGGCACAGGCAACAAGAAATAACGAGTTGTCCAATCAGAGCTCTGGTGTGTAAGTTCGATATTACATTCCAGAATTCTGATGGGACAGCTCGTTATTCTTTGTTTCCTGTGCCTGTTGCCTGTGCCTATTGCCTGTTTAAGCCTGTACTCTCTTGCTGCGAGCATCGGAGCCCGTCGAGGCTTAGGCCCGTTCTACAATAGAGTCGTAAGCGGTAAGCCAATCATAGTCGATTATTCTTCTCACACTTAACTGTGATTAGTCAATTTCTTACGGCTTACAACTTGCGACTCTATTGTAGAACAGTCATTAGAGCTCGTGAAACCTTAAAGCGGGAAGTACAGACTCTTGCATAACGCATGAAGCATAAGAAACCAATCAAAGTTCTTTACTTCATAAGGAAAGGAAGGAAACGAAGGACTTTGATTGGTTCAATTTCTTATGCATAACGCATAAAATATAAGGCATAAGAAAATCAACCAATCAGAGTCCTTTATTTCATGGAAAGAAAGGAAACAAAAGACTTCGATTGGTACATTTTTTTTGCATTACGTGTTATGCATTATGCAAGAGTTTGTGCTCCTCGCTTAAGTCTGTAAGCGAAATGGTTAAAATCTATTTCTAGGTTTGTTCGCGTCGCATGTTCTAACATGCTCCAAAATGCTCTTGCCATAGCATTTATTCACTTTAACGTGCTCCTTGAAGCAGGAGCACATATTGGAGTATGCTGGAGCATACGACAATATGTGTGAATATGTCGCAATTTGTGTAAATCAATTAAATTACAAAATAGCGACTTTTCCCAAATAAAAATAACAGACGTGTTCCCCAAATGATTTCTAATTGATTCCATTCATAAAACACGTTAAATAAAATCACTGTCTGCTAACTTGATGCGTATGACATTTGTTAAGAACAACAAAAATACTATTACCCAAATGTTTAAATACTTTTCCTAAATTTTCCCAAATAATTCCCAAATTATATAATTATACATATATATATATATATATAACATAAATAAATCAGAAATATTTAATTTGTTAAATTTAATTCTGCTATCTTGTCAGTGGTCTATTATTTCCACCATGGTCAATCCCTTCCACCATAATTCGCAAGTGTCAGTTTGTGTTGGTTTCAGTTAGTTTGTGTGTCAAGTGCACATCAGTGCACATAAATTAAAGTAGAATGGACTTTGAAAGTCCTGACGTTGAGAAGGAATTTCCCGGATTATATGCCTCTGAATCGGCGAGGAAAAGTAATGAAAGCGATTGTACGTAATGATTGTTATCACGTTATATTTATGTTTCGAACGATTAGACATTGTGCACGAGAAATAGAGACAGGTTATGTGATCTGTCAAAATCTAGTCGCAGATGTTGTATATTTGCTTTTCTCGCTGTCATTTCACTATCAGAAATATTTATTTTGCATCATTTATTTTTATACTGCAGTTAGTGACGAGGGCAGCCACGACAAGCATTCCAAGAAGGAGCTTCTGGGTGGAAAACGTAAGGACAAGAAGGACAGAAAGGACAGGGGTTATGCGACCCTAGAGGGTGAGAGTTCGCCGGACGAGGATCAGGAAACCAAGTAATATTCGCTCCGAAATCTATATGATCTCTCTCTTTTATATTGCTGCTTGACATACACCTACTAATGTAACTAATGTAGTTAATTAGTGAGCGTGATTAACAGATCCTTTTATCTGAAAATTAACAAAAACATATGAATAAGGCTACACTATTAATACTCGATAATTATAATTAATGGCCATCCATTCACAATTGTTCTATATTTCTTGTTAGTACTGCACTAGCTTTCTCTTGTATCACACTGAGCCTGATTTTGGACTTATAAATGGAAAGCAGACTTATTTTAAATGTTTATGATTAGATATTGTTGCTTATACTAATTCTGATTTGCTCAGTGGACATTTTATTATAAAAGTCTTTATTACATATATACAAAATAATAATTAATCACAAATTGCTCTTAAAATAATTACACTTTTTCGAATGTCCTGTATAATATTGAGTGTAATATGTAATTTATTACACAGAAGTCCTTCAAAATCAAAAAAAACCAAAGCCTTTAAATTCCCAACTAAAAAGGAGAAGCGGGAAAAATCACGAGAGAAGGAAGCGAAAGAAAAAGATGTTGAAAAGGAGAAGGATAAAAAAAAGAAGGAAAAGGATGAGAAGGATGTAGACAAGGAAAAGCGGAAAGACAAAGATAAAGATAAATCCAAACAAAAATTAAAGGATCGGAAAAAAGGAAAACATGAAGGTTTGGATATTGGCGGTAAGATCATAATTCGTACAAATACAATTGATATACTTTGATTTGTTTTATTAACTTTTAAAAAATATATATATATATATATATATTATATTCCTCAGAGGAACAGCCAATTTTTGGTGTTAGTCTTCATCTGGCAGTCGAAAGAAGTTGTTGTCACGATGGAGTCAAATTACCTTTGGTGGTACGAGATTGTATAGATTATGTAGAAGAGTATGGGATGAATGTGGAAGGCCTGTACAAAGCCCCTGGGGTGAAGTCAAAAATTCAGCACTTGAAAAAATTGTATAACAATCGAGAGCTGGTGAATATATCCGAGTTCGAACCCACGGTAGCTACGAGCTTATTGATACTCTTTCTTAGGTTTGTATACCTGTGAATTCTATCCTCCTTCTCACCATATGTTTTAAGATCAAACGAAAAAGTGCGCATTGTGGTGATGTAGAGAGCTGCCAGAGCCCGTGCTGGAGAATAGCGAAACGATATCGCGCTTCGAGCAAGCAGCATCGACCAAGGATGTCGCTCAGCGGGAAGCACAATTGGCCCAGTTGACACAGCAGTTACCTGAATGCAACAGGATTCTTCTGGCATGGGTCACGTTGCATCTGGACAATGTCACAGCACGAGTATGTTCAAAATATTAGTTCGATGCAAGAGGTCCGTCAGATGAGCTAGATGCTTAGATCCTTTTGGACATAAAAATTTTCATTTTTTTTTATTATATTCTAATTTTATTGGAAATAAAAATTGTGAAGCGACACAAATTTTCCAATCAATTTAATACATTATTCTCTTAAAACGTATATTCCAATTGATTTTCAATAAATTTTATTTCAGGAGAAAACAACAAAAGTGAACGCACAAACAATTTCAATGACGTTAAGTCCGGTTTTACAAATGAGTCACAGATTGCTATTGGCTTTATTATTCCACTGCAAAGCTCTGTTCCCAAATATACAATTGATAAAATATGTACCACCGTTATCGTCCGGTAGTACGAATCTGCCAGATTCCGTGGAGGGTATTGCTGCGGAATTATCCAAACAGGAGTCGTTACTGTCCCAAATTCATATGCAAATGAATGCCGGTTTTGTAACGAAATCTCGTGAGGAACAATTATGGGAGGTACAACGCATGATAACGCAATTGAAGGTATAGAGAGCTACAAGAACGTTTTAAAAATTCATATCGTATAAAGAGCATTGACATAAATAATAAATTGTACTTTGCAGAGAAAATGTAAGACTGTTCAAAAATTGGAAGGTGCTACGCAAAAGAGTCTGGATGAAGAAATAAAATCCGATAATATTCCAACGGAATCTATCTCGCAGAAGTCAAAAACTGCAGATGAAGATTCTGGACAGGCAATATCTGGTGATGTTCAATCGTCAACCAATCTGACATTGATAAAAAAAGATAACAAATTGCATAGCGCAGAAGAAACGAAAGAGAAGTGTTCTTGCTCAAGTAATAGTGCGAACGTCACGCAAAATGAACAAAATGTAAATGTACAAGAGAAAGACATGGTTGATTCCGCGATTGAGGTTGCAGTTACACCGCAAGAACCTGAGAATATAACGCCGAATGACAGAACAAATGGTACATAATTAATAGTATATAATTTCTAATACAATTCTTAAGCTAAATACACATTATCATTAATTTATATAGAGTCTGAAGAAGATGTCATAGACAAATTACGAGAAAGGCTGATCTATGAGGAATTGTTGAACATGCAAGCGTTATTGAAATCTCGCATCAGTCAGGAGAGAAATGAGATCAAACGATTAATGGAGATGTTAACGGAGCGCAGCACAAAAGAAGAAAAGAAGAAGCCCAAAGAGAGGACGCATTCTCCTAATGAAGCCGAAATGACGGCCATGATACAGCTAGTCAAAGAAAATCAACTACTTGAGGTACGTCCCTCCATAACAGCTTTTTTGTTCTACTTCTATACATTTATACGATTCTCTCTCGCAGAAGAAGATGACGACGTTGATACGTAGTATTATCGAAGAGAAAGATGCTTGCGTGGAATTGCGTGTACAACTGGCGGTGCATCAACTAATGGCCAAAACTTGACCGCAGATCTCCTAGCGATCACAGAATCACAACGTCTTTACGCTATAAAGATATGTTCTGACATTACGTTTTTGCACATAATGACCATATATAGTTTATAACATGTTACAATTATCACATGTATCATTAACTCGTTCGATTCTTCCGCGAAGTAATAAAATATACAAAATGCAGCCGAAATCTTTGTATTTTTATAATTCAAATTCCTCATTGAACACCTAGCATATGTATATAAGGAAGGAGAGAGGAGTGACATCCTTTAAATATTCAATAAGGTAAACATAAGAGATTTTTCCTTACAGTAAAAAAAAGTAATATATTATAATAAGAATTCTATATGTATATAATATTTCATATTTCAACACGTCAGCAAAAACATTAACATATTATTATTATATATTAATTACACTGATAAAATTTCAGATAGTTCGGTAAATTAAATCCATACATCGAGTCTAGAACGCACTTTACATTCTGTCCCTTCGTATAAAAAATGAATCATTTCAGAGAAAATAAAAAAGAAGAAGAAAAGTTATTTTCACATTGAGCAGGAAATTAGAATAAGACTGTTAATACACAAGACTGCTTGAGATTAAGGTCGAAAAAAAAGATGAAAAAGAAAATCTTCACAGTAATAACGAAGCGCGATATTTACTACATATCACACTCAGTCATACATATCTTCTATTTGCGAGTTATATTTTGCTTACAAACTTCAAATTTGCGCATCATGTATCAATATACTTGCTGTAGATGAATCAGTAAAACAGAAAAGGTAACTTAGGATTAAGGGGTCAATTTATCGTGATCAATGTATATTTACAATATTATCTGATAAAGGTACAGCGCTGAATATTGACCCGTATAGGTTTGCGTATAATCTTGATAAAATGCTGCTTTGTGTATTTTAGACGTAGGAAAAATTTGCACACTCGATATAATTTCTTTCTTCGTTTTTTGTTGTTGTAGGTTCTTTTATCTGTGCATTTGTATAAAAATCTATTAAACGTCGCTCACGCGGCAGGACGCACGCGGAAACTGAGATTGTGCTGAGGACGTTGAGTCAGATTCTCGCATTCATCAGCGAAAGAGGATCACGCAGCCTCTATAGCCTTGAAGAGTAAGAATAAGCTCTTGCGGGCTCTACAGTCGCAACGTAACGCAACGCTGGGTATTCTCTCGGTATATTCTCTCGTATTATATATTGTCAAATAACTCATTGTAATTCGGAAAAGCGACTCGAAACGTTTTATTGAGACAATCATTACCAGTTCGAGATTGTGGAATCCGACTATTGCAACGCAATATTGTACCGCGTCGTGAAAAAAAATTGTGTCTTTACAGGTACATCTTATATTCAATGCGATACTTTTTTCTTTCTCTTTTTTTTTCTTTCGTTCGCAGAGAACGAGATCGAGCGACAGATAATACAATAATGTACTCTTACGGCATCACTATCACAGTGTAATACAACAACTCGCTAAGAATAATACGCGGTACCTACGAGCAGTGAGGGTAGTTTCACTACCTAATCACGAAACCGTATCAGTATCAGTTTCGCTTAACGATCTGCAATTATAGAAAATATTATATGTGTAACTTTATCACACAGTCATTACAAAGAGACAGCTGAATTGGATTTTGGCGTTCTAATATCGTTTGATTGTTTTACTAATTGTAGAGCATCGAATAAACTTTAGGTGGGATATGATCCTGAGGATGCGGCATTTAAAAAGCCTCTACTATACCTCTGTTCCAAAAAAATTACCGTTAAAAAAGCATTGGTAAATTATAGCATAAGTATACATATACTAAATTCAAAAAGAATATCTTATTGCCTGTTCGCAGATGAGCACGTAGATTTTTTTTTACGAAGTCTATAAAATAATTTACAAAATATTATAAAAAATGTGTAATATATACGTATAAAAAAATAAAGGAATGTTTCCTCTCTTTCTTTCTCTCTTTTTCTCTTCTATGGCCAATAAATTTTGCAACGATATTTACAATAAAAAAGGATGATTAAAAACATTTCGATATAAGATATCTTAGCAACATCCTATATTTTATCCTGTCCATTTTGCAATTGTTTCATTTCTTGATTATCCCAATTTTATTTTGTTATAAAATATATTAAGTATTTTTCATATTTATTTATCTGTCGATGAAAATTTAAACATTTTGATAGTTATGATTCAATAAATATTAATCAATATAGAAGTTCGTGATGTAGGATACAATTGAGACAATGCTGTTAGACAGACGATTGCTCAAAATTGCGCGATTTGCTTTATATATAATCGTTTTTATATAGTAAAATTAACGAATATTACTTAACGTCTCGTAATATCTATTTCGTTCATCTATCTTTCTGAAGTAATGTCAATAATAACACAATATAATAACTATATATTCTTAAGTGAATCTTTGTATGATAAATTTAATGATATCCTCATTTACATCGTTCACATTATTCATAACTCACTGGATAATATAGCTTCATAATAGCTCTTTTATTTGAATAAATTTTAAGTAATGAGTGTATCGCAATTTGCGTCTCTCTCTCTCTCTCTCTCTCTTTCTCTTTCTCTCTCTCTCTCTCTCTCTCTCTCTCTCTCTCTCTCTTTTCTACAAGAATCTGTAATGTTGCAAATGGTTTTTTTAAGCTGCACGTTTGTGTGCACACATTCTTAAACGAATGAAAGTCCACAATTCATTTAAAATAAGAATATGTCATTGTAAATAAAAATAATGTTATTGGCTTCCTATTCTCTAAAATGTATATAATGTTGAAAACTTTATTGACAAAATAAATATGAAGAACCGATACTTGTCAATACTATCAGATTGTTAAAAACTAATAAAATATTTCACATGAACTCCATTTTCCTCCTAAGATTATTTATAAAATTAAGAAAGAAAATGTTTTAATAAATCTTTTACAAACGAGTATTTTATTTTAAATTATCGTTTGTAAGATTCTAAAAGACACAGTCAGTATAAAAGATACAGTATCAGGCTACTCCTCGCCCTGATGAGATGGACTGCAAGGTTCACGAAACGTTGGCATTTCAAGAATGGATCTGGACACGGAGGAAACCCGCGAAACACATAACTTTTATATATGTAAAATATTATATATATAAAATGTTTAAATTTGATCGTTTCATGGGAGATTAAGAAAGTTCGAGTATAAAGGTAATAAAAAAAAAAGAAATTTTAGCTTTTTTTATTCAACTACGTTGGAGATAAAAATATTAAAATGTCCAAAGTCTTTCTAAAGGTCACATAAAGAAGAAATAATTATAAATTTTATTTCCTTTCAATGTTACTACATGAAAGTGAAAATTAATATAAATATAATTTAGTGGATAAAAAGACAGTTATGAAGAATAGGAAGCCAAACTATAATATGTAAAATAGTAATATTTATTATCTTTATACTCATCTAAAGCCATAATTTTAATTTCATCATTAATTTAGAGTGTCAGTCGCACACACATTCAAGCATTTGGCAGGCAAGAACCTAGAAGAATCTATTTCAGAGAGAGCAGTATTACTACGAAGTCATCATATCATTGACTGAATTTGATATATTAGGTCCTTTTAGGGCATCATTTATGTCTCTTCTAAACATTGATAAATTTTGTGTAAACCTGCGAGAAAACAATAATAATGTTTATAAAACGCTTAGGACATATAATAGGATACACATTATAGTTGCTGCTTTTTTACCTATCTCTATTTTTTGTGAGTAAATTTCTTTCAATCCCATTCATTAAATTTTCAAACCATTGGGCCATCGCTGCTTGCTTATCAACTGGTTGACTTCTAATAATATTTTCCCTTAATTGATTGAAATACTATAAGAACAGATAAATAAGACGTTATATATGTACATAAAGAATACTATATATATATATATATAT